AGACACTGGCTGCATAAATCTGTTTGGATTTAATAAAAACCTAAAAAAGATTGACAAATGTCCAAGATAAAGATAAGAAGGACACCGTTAAGAAGAAAGGACAAGGGATCCCTGGGTGGCGCAGCGGTTTAGCGCCTGCCTTTGGCCCAGGGCGCGATCCTGGAGACCTGGGATCGAATCCCTTGTCGGGCTCCCGGTGCATGGAGTCTGCTTCTCCCTCTGCCTATGTCTCTGCCTCTCTCTCTCTCTGTGTGACTATCATAAATAAATTTTGAAAAAATTTAAAAAAAAAAGAAGAAAGGACAAGTGTGGATGTGTGTATGCGTGCATGTGTGCGTGTGTGTGTCCACACATGCACATGTACACCATTCCTCACAGGAAATGCCTAGAAAGTGCATAAACTGTCAGCAGCCACTTCCAGGGACAGAAAAGGGGGAAAAAGAATTACTTTTCACTTTCCAGCCTTCTGTAAAATGTTAAGTCGTTCATACGGCATATACTACATTTCTATTTTTTTAAATGACTCAACAGTGATTTTTTTTTAAGTCCATAATTTTGTCAATAAACCTTTTTTTTTCCCTAGGGAAAAAACCCAAATGCCAATTTTAAGCCCAACTATAACTCAGGTTCTCTGGTATGCACAGAATCAAAACCACTTTGAAATGCTTTCATGACAAACCAAGCACTGAACAGCACAGGAACAGAGTCAGGACATTTTCAAAGTCGAAGTCATAGTTTTTTAAATGAAACTATTACCATACCATTGACAGGACTCCCAGGAAATTGATAACTATTTCTACATTATAAATTCCTCCATTTTGCACAAAAATGGCTATTCTTAGGGACACAGTATAACAGACTGTTGGAAGGGCAAACTGACCAGCTGGAGCTGGAGTTCAGGCAGTCGTGAGTTGGGAAGCCTTGAGCAAATTCCACAATCTGCTCAAGCCTCAGTTTCTCTTTAGTACAACGGAGTGATGCAGCCTGGCTGACGAAACTCTACCCCAGTGCTTCCCAAGTACTTCTGAGCACAAGAAAGGATGCTTTATGGGGCTACAGAGGCAAACACGTTTGTGTGAACGACACTCACTTGTGACCAAGGATCAGGCTAACATGGGTGGCAGCCCCATGTTGAACGAACTATGACAATTACAGGTCCTGCGCTTTGGCAACCCACTGAGAAGTCAGGTCCCCAGTAACGGAATCTTTACCAATGCTGCTGAGATGTACAGAGAAAACTGCTAACTTGTATGTTATTAGTTCCACTCGCAGCCAGTAAGAGTGGGGGGACTGGGAAAAACAGGCCACCCCTCGCACAACCATGGTGCAAACCATGCTTGAAACACACTCCGTCCACAGGCACTGAGCCATCAAGCAACTGGACGGCAAGGGTCCTGTCACTGTGCCAGCGCTGGCACCTACTCCCTCTATCCTGAATCACAGATCAGAGACTAACACCTGAGTCACAGGCATATACGTCCAAATATATAATTTTGTTGATTACTTATTGGTTTTGTGACTTTTTTTTTTTGGCTTCTAAAGAAAATACATAGCAACCATCTGTTTAGAAGTAACCCTGATTTTTCTTTTATAATCACCACCTAAGGTCTCCCAACACGAGATTAAGAAACACGGCCATAAGCCAGCAACTGCAGATTCTGTTCCCGTTAATGGCACCAAGGGACGTGTACTGCTTGGGCAAAGTTGACAGCACCTTCAACTCTGCCGACCATGAGACCATGAGGACTGGTCCTCGATGTGTAGGACTTCCACCTGGGCCAATGTTACCATTTCCATTTCCGTTCTTGCAGCTTTTCTAAATGTACTTTTCATTCCTTGTACCAATTACTTAAAACCACAGAAAACATCTCAGCCGGAACAACATCTCTGAATGGAACGTGTTGACCTTTCGATGAAATAGTAATTATTGGGATGCCTGGGTGGCTCAGCAGTTTTAGGCATGATCCTGGAGTCTCCAGGATCGAGTCCCACATCAGGTTCCAGCATGGAGCCTGCTTCTCCCTCTGCCTGTGTCTCTGCTTCTCTCCGTGTCTCTCATGAATAAATAAATAAAATCTTTACAAAAAAAAAAAAAAAGAGGAATCCCTGGGTGGCTCAGCGGTTTAGGACCTGCCTTCAGCCCAGAGCGTGATCTTGGAGTCCTGGGATCTAATCCCACATCAGGCTCCCTGCATGGAGCCTGCTTCTCTCTCTGCCTGGGTCTCTGCCTCTCTGTGTCTCTCATGAATAAAATCTTAAAAAAAAAAAAAAGTAATTACTAAAGCAAAATGTATATAGTCTCCTATCACTGCCTCCCCCAATTCTTATTTTCAATGTCCAAGCTATAAAAAAGTTAGGAGAATACAAAATAGAAAGGAAGCTAGAATCCTTGTACACTGCTGGTGGAATGTAGAGCAGGGCAGGTGCTTTGGAAAACGTTTTGGTGGGTCTTCAAAAAGTTAAACATAGTGGGGTGCCTAGGTGACTCAGTTGGTTAAGTGTCTGACTCTTGATTTCACCTCAGTTCATGATCTCAGGGTGGTGAGAAAGAGCCCCAAGTCAGGCTGTCTGTACTGGGCATGAAGCTTGCTTAAGATTCTCTCTCTCCCTTTGCCCTTCCCATCATCTCCCACCCCAGCTCCTATACCTGCATTGTCTCTCAAAAAAAAAAAGTTAAACATAAAAGTATATCACCCAGCAATTCCATTCCTCTGTATATATCCAAGAGAAATGAAAACCTATGTTCACACAAAAACTTGCACTAGAAGGTTCATAGTAGCCTTATCCATATAAGCCAAAAAGTGAAAACAATTCATTTGTCCATCAACAGACAAATGGGTAAATGAAACATGGGTCTATCCATTCAATGGAATATTACTTAGCCATAAGAAGGAACCAGGAACTAATACCCGCTACAGGTATGAACACTGAAAACATTATGCTAAGTGAAAGTCGTCAGTCACAAAAGGCCACGTATATGAAATTTCCAGAATAGGCAAATTCATGGAGTCAGAAAGTAGATCTGTGATTGACAGAGGCCAAGAGGTAGGGGGAGGATGAAGAATATCTGCTAATGGTTACAAGGTTTCTCTTTAGGTGGATCAAGCTGTTCTAAAATTAATAGTAATTATTCGAGCAACTCCGGGAATATATTAAAACCACTGAATTCTACACTTAAATGCATACATTTTATGGTATCTGAATTATATATCAATAAAGCTTTATTTAAAAACAAAACAAAGGGCAGCCCGGGTGGCTCAGCAGTTTAGCACTGCCTTCAGCCCAGGGCCTGATTCTGGAGACCCAGGATCAAGTCCTGCGTCGGGCTCCCTGCATGGAGCCTGCTTCTCTCCCTGCCTGTGTCTCTGCATCTCTCTCTCTCTGTGTCTCTCATGAATAAATAAAATCTTAAAAAAAAAAAGTAGACTCCTATAGCTTTCAATTAGAGCCCTCAATTACACTCCACCCCATTTACTCTCTCTGCTCCTCACATGCTTGCACGCACACAATCTTTGCTTGGACTATTTAAAATTTATTTATTGCCATACTTTACTCCTGGATGTTCGGTATGGAGCCTATTCTCCCACAGAGCCAAAAATACAAACATCACACTGGGGAAATTTAACACCAACGCAACACTATTATTTAAATAATCCACACCCAAACTTATTTATCAAAAATCATATGCTGCATTTGGCTGTCATATCCCTTTAGTTTCTCTTAATCTAGAAAAACTCCCTTTCTTTTTTTTCATGACATTCACATTTTTTTTAAGAATGCAGGCTAATTATTTCAGAGCCTTCCTCAATTTGGAAATGTCTGTTTCCTTATGAACTGATCTAAGTTGAACCCTTTTTGGTAGGATACTACATAGAAGAGTTGATCCCTTTTCGGTGCATCAGGCCCGATGCTCTATGATCAAGCCAGAACATGGTGTCAGTAGCATCATGAGCGGTGACAGTGAGGTGATGCTGTTTGGTCGTGGCTAGACTGGTGATGACCTGATTCCTCCATTATAACAGTCGCTTTTTCCCTTCTGAAATTAATAACTTGGGAGGTGACCGTTTGAGTCTGTGTAAATATCAGGATTCCCCAGTTTTGCACTCAAAAGGGTTTAGCATCTGTTCATGATCTTTGCCTGGTATCCTTAAAAAAAAAAAAAAGATTTTATTTATTTATTCAGGATAGACAGAGAGAGAGAGAGGCAGAGACACAGGCAGAGGGAGAAGCAGGATCCATGCAGGGAGCCCGATGCAGGACTCGATCCAGGGTCCCCAGGATCACGCCCTGGGCCAAAGGCAAGTGCTAAACCACTGAGCCACCCAGTCTGCCCTCCCTATTCAATCCCTTTTGACACTGCTCTGCATTTATGGGACCAACCACCACCCTCAACTTTATTCCCCAGTGTGCAATCATACTTTAAAATCCCCAGGGTGCTTGATTCTGATACACAGTAGGGCTGAGCTACAGGAATCTCAAATCATCCTCGTTTTGCAAACAAGGAAACTGAGGCCGGAGGAGGGTAACGGACTGGCGAGGGGCCCAAAACTTGCTGGTGCCGTTAAGAGTTTGATTTATTGATTTATTTTTGTTCTTGCATTTTTTTAATACGGCATTCCTTCTGTCGATCGCTCAAGAGAATAAAACCGGAGGAAGGAGTTAAGTTTCGCGTGGTGCCAGAGCTGACCGGGGCCCAGGCGGGTTCATGGAGGCCTCGGCAGTCAGGCCGGAGGTGGGCTTGTGGGCGCCGCGCTCCTCCGCCCTCAGCGGACAGTCAGGCCGGGGCCCGGGGCCCGGGGCCGGGCGGGGGCTCGAGGGGCCGGACGGTGGACGGTGCGGCTCAGGCGCCCGCCCCCCGGCCCTCGGCCCTCGGCCCTCCCTCGTCTGCGCGGCGGGGCGCACCTGGCGCGGCCGCACCTGGCGGAGCGCTCTGCCCCGCCCCCCGACCCCCCCCCCGAGTGTCCCCAAGACGCACCTGCAGGCCCGCCCTCCCTACTTACCCCGGCGTGATACACCTTGTTCGCTCTCTTAATCTTAATGTCCAGGGACGTGCCCATTTCGATCACTCCGCGGCGGGCGCCACTTCCGGCCGCGCGTGACCCGCGGGGACGGCGACTCGCCCCGCCCCTCCGAGCCGGGCCCCGCCTCCTTCTCCCCGCCACCCGCAGCCGTTTCACGAGACCTCGCGCCCCCCCCCCCCGCCGCCTTCCTTCTTCCGGTGCCGGGGCGGGCCTTCGCGCGGAGCGAGACGCTGTCACTCTTCGCCCCGCCCCTGCCGGGCGTGAGGGGCGGGGCCATGCCGGCCCCACCCTTTCCGCGAAGACTGTCTTAACACCGGAAATACCCTCCCCTTTCTTGTTGGGGGGGGGGACGGAAAACGGCTCTCTCCCGGCGTGCCCCGCGGCGGGGGGCGGGGCCGAGGCCGCGTCGGGCGCGGGCCCTGCCTGTGCCGGGGAGGGGAAGCTCCCGTCAGGCAGTGCGCGAAGGAGTTGGCGAGGAGGCGGCGGTAACTGGGGGGCCGCGTTCCCGCCCAGCCCTCCTTCCTCTCGCCATCTCCCCAGTCTCTTCCGGGGCTTCTGAGGGCCGGCGTCCCCTCCCCGGACCCCGCGCTGCCGCCGCCGGGCCGAGGGCCCAGGCCGAGGGGAGCGCCGGGTGACCTCGCCCGGCTCCGAGCGGCGGGGCCGCGGAGGCTTGTGGGTACTCCCCCGGCGCGCGCCCTGGAGCGGGTGCTGAATATTCATGAGGGAGCGCGGGCTGCGGGCAGGCGCGGCGCGCAGGCGCAGAAGGCCGGCGGCGCGCGGAGCTGCCCGGCGTCCTAGTGCTTCCCCGCCGGCGCCGACGGTCGGGGCTCGGCCTCGGGGGGCAGGTGCCTGCAGGCAGGGCAGCCGTGCAGTTAGGGAACGCACTGCCTCGAGCGTCATCAGGCTCCTTGTAGGGGTTTTAAACCAGGGCTTTGCCACCACGCAGAAGGCTGACGTTTCGTAATTTTGGTAACCGGTAGTGCAGCGAAGAAGTGCTTTTATGTTTTTAAATTCCTTAGTTCTTGAGCTCCAATTAAATAAAAATGAATTCCTTAGTTCTGAGGTCTGTTTTTTAAAATGCATCACTTTTAGGGTTATATTGGAAATTTGCTGTAAGGGGCTACCCCAGGTGGCTCAGTGGTTGAGCATCTGCCTTGGGCTCCGGGCATGACCCGGGGTCCTGGGGATCGAGTCTCCCACCTGCCTCCCCGCAGGGAGCCTTGCTTCTCCCTCTCTCTGTGTCTCTCATGAATAAATAAAGTCTTTAAAAAAAAATTTTTTTTCCCCATATAAAACAGTTTCATGAATCAGTTGTCACTGGTGCCTCCCTCTTGAGAATTGAAGGCATCTGATAGGACGACAGTGATGGTGCTATAGCTACAATTGCTCTCGAAGGGTGTTACATGGTGGTGTTTCCCAATATTCAGGTCTCGGGTTTCAGCTCCTCTCTGCCCTCAGGGCTTCAGTCTCCCTTGGATGTCTTCCTGCAACTCAAACTCTGGCAATTCTAAAACAATCCATCAGGGATTTAATAATCACAGTCTAGTCTATTTGCAATTCCAGGAAATGAATCCGTCTCCACCAGACTTCCCCCATCATTTCCAACTGGTAAAATACCAATCACAGTAGACCACGAAGGGAAGCAGGAAGAGAAACATCTCACACAAGAATCCCCATTCTAGACTCGTTTGCTCGGCCAACCTGCTTTATATTTATTTTACAGCCGAGCATTTCTTGTTCCTTGAGGTCAGGTAGGGCCTGTGGTTCTCATCTTTGTGGGTTGTACACCATCTTTATGGAATATTGGTGTAGAGCAGAGAGCTTTAGCTGCAGCGATTATCACTAATCTGCCCTCTCTGTGTGATGGCTTCCAAACATGAAGCAGTCCATTTTTCTCCAATCGTTCTCTCTCTCTCTCTTTTAAAGATTTTATTTATTCATGAGAGAGGCAGAGACACAGGCAGAGCGAGAAGCAGGTTCCATGCAGGGAGACCGATGTGGGATTCAATCCTGAGACTCCAGGACTGTGCCCTGGGCCAAAGGCAGGCACTAAACAGCTGAGCCGCTGAGCCGTCCAGGGATCCCCACCAATTGTTCTCTTTTGACTCTTTCCCATCCCTAAGTGGCACCTGAGGCCATACCCCTAACTATCTGGTCAATTTCAGTTACTAAAAATCAGATCATGTCAAAGTGTCAGTCTCATGACCCGAGTGGGACACCAGATCCTTAGTGGGGGTGGGAAGGTGGGAGTCACTTTCCTGGCTCTCCGACACTTCTTCAACATCCTCTCCAGGCCTCGTTTCTGTGTTGAGACAAGCATCGCTTATCTTGCCAAATTCTCTCTTGATTCCTTTTTGTCTGGGTAACTGGCCTGTGCTTGAAACTCCTTTCAAGGGGGTACATATGAGAAGACCTTGCCGGCCTTCTCCCTTCCATACATTTCCATGGGAGATCTATTTCCAGCTTAATCTTTTCCATCACCCCCCTGCCAGCACCCACTAGGGCGCTCAGCCTCTTGGGAGGGTTCATCAAGGCAGCTCAAGACCATTTGTCTTCCACGGAGTTCACGTGCCTCGTGAGAAACACACATCCATATCACACAAAAGGGCTGGACTAGAAGCTGCCCCAAGGCCTCTCCTCTCCACCCTCTTGTCTGTCTTCAGTCTTCTTGCTCCTTCCGGAAATAGAGACGGGAATAAATCAGCAAGAATGCTGACCAGACAGATTTGCAAGGAGTGAATGGAAGAACAGCCTCGCCCTCCAGTAGACCCAACCAATACCAAGGACAGATTACCCTGCAGCCTCCCCCTCTATATCACTTCCCTCCAGAAACATTGCACTCTCCACAAGGCCAACTACCTCCTTTCATTCTTTCTTCTCCCTCCATATATAGAATGAGACAGAGAAGACTGGGGAAGTATTTGGTGGAAGCAGAGCTTGATCTGCAGCTTTTTATCAAGCCCTGGGGAAAGTGTCTGGCTCCAATTGTAGGCATCTTTCACTAGAAGATAGGGCACTATGGTTCAGCTGTGAGCCTAATGCCCATTCCGGGACAGGAGGCGAGGTCCCACTAAACATCTTTCAGTGGAGGCTGTGATGTTCAGCCCAGACCTTTTAGGACTGAGGGACATGTTCTTGAGCTGCTGAGAGTATTGCTTTCAAGAGCTGTCAGTTCAGTCTTTAAAACCTTCCCTTAGGGATCCCTGGGTGGCGCAGCGGTTTGGCGCCTGCCTTTGGCCCAGGGCACGATCCTGGAGACCCAGGATCGAATCCCACATCGGGCTCCCGGTGCATGGAGCCTGCTTCTCCCTCTGCCTATGTCTCTGCCTCTCTCTCTCTCTCTGTGACTATCATAAATAAAAATTTAAAAAACTCTAAAAAAAAATAATAAAACCTTCCCTTAGCTGAAGAATACTGCTTTACCCAAAGCTATGGTCCTCTGAGAGGGGCGGGGGAGATTTGGAGGACAGCCCGTATCAATGATGAGTCAATTTAGGATATGAATACCTCTTCTCCTCACCTCAGCTTGGAACAACTCTGAAGGACAAGGCAGCTCCCTATATTAGCTGCATAACAAATTACCTTCAACATTTAGTAGTTAACACAACAAATATTTTTTATCTCAAAGTGTATGTGAGTGAGGAACTCAGGAGCAGCTTCACTGGGTCATTTTGGCTCAAGGTCTCATGGGGTCACAGCCAAGATGTTAGGCAAAGCCACAGTCATCTAAAGACTGGCTTGGGCTGCAGGATCTACTTCCAAGATGGCACCCTTATGTGGCTGTGGGCTGGAGCCCTCGATTCCTTACCACAGGCACTGTCCACAGGCAGCTTGAGACTCTTCACAGGCTGCTTGAGAGCTAACTTCTCCCAGGCCAGGCAGTCCCACAGGGAGAGCAGACAGAGCTGTAGAGCCTTCTATGACCTAGGCTCTGAACTCTCACATTTACTTTTCTTCTGTTGGTTAGAAGAGAGTCACTAACTTCAGTCCACACTCAAGGGAAGGGGAATTTGGACCAACCTTTGGAACTGAGCATCAAAAATTTGTGGACATATTTTAAAGCACTTTATTCCCATTGGCTGGGAGCCTTTGCTGTGATAGCATCACGAGTAAACTTCTCCTACTGCCCAACCCAATCCTCCTTGCTTCACCTCCATCCCCACACCTGTTGATCTGGAGAGTACCCCTTATATACTTCCTGCACATTAATCTCCATCTCAGGGCCTGCCCCCTGGCAACCCAGCCTTCAACAATCCTGTTACACCAGCTTCCTGACTTAACTTCTCTAAGCCTCTCTAAAATGATCCCAGTACCTTCATTATAAAGTTGACAGGACTCATGATGACTCACATATATGTCACGTACTTGCCGTGGACCAGGCACTGTGCTAAGCACTTTAAATATTTTACTTTGTTCGATCCTTATAAGGAGAATTACAATTCCCTCACCTTACAAAAGGGAAAAACTGAGGCACAGAAGGATTAATGGACCCGCCCAAAGCTATGTAGCAACTAAATGGCAGCCACCCATTTTCATCCAGAGCTCATGTGTCCTGTCACCAATCACATGCTACATATGTGCACACAACAAAGTCTGGGCTTAGTGCAAAGGAACACAGGGTCTCTATGAAAAGACTGGGCAAAGCACTGCCAATCAAATGTAAAAATCAAGCAGGGGTACAACTTGTAATCAAAGGCGATTTTATAGAAACTGATAGCAAAGACACACCGTGAAAGCCATAGGAGAGTTGTATGGTATATTAGCTTACTGGAGCTGCCATCACAAGGAACTGCAAATAGAATAGCTGAGAACAAACATGGTTCTCTCGTGTCTGGTTCTGGAGACTTTGAGGTCTGAAAACAAGATGTCAGTAGGGTTAGTTCCTCTCAAAGGCTGTGAAGGAAGGTTCTGCTCCTATCCTCTCTCCTTGGCTTGCAGGTGGCCGTCTTCTTCTGCAACTCTTCTCTTTGCCTTCATGTGTCTTCATTATCACATCACGTTCTCCTTGCATGGACATCTCTCTCCAAGTGCTCCCTTTTTCTAAGGACATGTCATATTGGAGTAGGGCTCATATTGACTTGATTACCTCTGTAAAGACCCTATTTCCAATT